AAAGAAGTTTTGTTTCTGAGTCACTAGAGAAGGAAAGGGACCCAGAAAGGGACTTGGAGGGAATCCTGAGAAGACGTGCTGTTGAGTGGATTTCATTGGTGTCCCAGAAAAAAGCGCAACACCCCAAACCAGGATATCCCCAGAATGTCTGACTGCCTTTGTCACCTGGCCTGTCCCCCAACTCAGAAGCACCTGCCCCAACAAGAGCACAATTCTCAGAAAGCAGAGCACCCGGCCATCAGCCAGGTGACCACCGCCCCGTCCAGCGTCATGTGTGATGAGAAACAACCTCTTCGTTCCTCTGTGGCTACGTCACTAAACGTGTGGACTCGATTTGGTGCTCCATGGAAGAGTAAGTGAGATGCTCGGGGGTCTGAGGGACAAGCCGGGATGTCGTGTGTCCAGAGAGAGAGGTCATTTCCATGAAGATGCTATGGCGAGGCCGCACCCTGCTCAGCTCTGCCTGGAAATCAGCACGAATTATAGAGCGAGGGGATGGAGGGAGTGGAACCGTTGCTGGACGGAACTTACGGGCATCTGCCACCGCCCCGCTCGGCCCTGCGAGGCGTGTCAGGGGCTTATGGCCTAAGACCTGAGGAATTGAACACTCAATACCTCGTTTCTGGCTCTGGCCTTTCTCCTCCTCCTTTCATGTCCAGCGTGATAGCGGAGGAAAAACGCAGGGTCCCATGTGCTAACTGGACATCCAATTAGCAGCTGCTACATACAGCCTGGAGACAGACACCACAGGGACACACAGGGAGCGAGGCTGCCCTCTAAACACGCAACGCCAGGGCGGGGTCACTACCTCCCAAACCACGGAGCCCTTTGGCATGGAGCTGCTAGGAGGCAGGAAGCACTCAGATCAACTCCCCTGTGCGTCAGCCGGAGATCTAGGGAAACAGGCCAACAGAACGTGTGTGTGTGTGTGTGTGTGTGTGTGTGTGTGTGTGTGTGTGTACGTGCACACACACACATGCACATACACACATATTAAGAGATCATTTCAAAAACCAGCTCATGCAGTTTTGGGGGTTGGCGCCGGCAGGCAGACACTCAGTATTTCTCTGTTACAGCCTGGAGGCAGACTTCCTTCTCTGGGAAAAACTGGGGTTTTGCTCCCAAGGACCCCAACTGATTACAGGGGTTAAGCACAGTGACACCTTCACAGCAACGCTGGTGCTGCTGTTTGATTAGCGAGATGACGGGGTCCAGCGTCTGGCCGAGCTGACGCCGCAGCCACAGCCGTGCCCGCCTCTCCCCTGCTGCTCTCCCCTTCGCTTAGAGTCTCCCCTCCTTAGGGCTTCCTCCACGGACTCGTTTCTGTCTTCAGAATCAGGATACGTTTGCTCCCTTGGACTGAGCGATTCCAAAGCAAGGGATCCCCAATGTTGTTCAGCCCGTGCCAAGAAGCAGGACAGGTTCCATGCCAGAGGAAGTGTGTTCCTCACTCTGGCCCCTGGAGCCCTGACTGGAAGTTAGAGGCCTGGAGGCCTCAGACTCAGCCACTAACCAATTTTAAAACCCTAGGCATCCGTCTCTCCATAATTCCGTTCCTCCTGTAAACTGGGATCAAAAACGCTGACCTCATTGGGTTGTTGCTCATTAAATGAGAACACACAGAAGAGGATCTGTGAGCTTTAAACTTCTGGAAATATTCATCATAACTATCATCATCATTATTCGAATCACCATCATCACCGCCATCATCACCACTGTCAACAGCACCAGCGCCACTGTCACCATTATCATCACCACCATCATCACCAACACACCATTACAACCACCACCATCATCGTCACTATCACCATCATCACCACCATCATCACTGTTACACTGATTGTGTCCCCCCAAAATTCATGTGTTGAAACCCTACCCCCAATGTGATGCTATTTGGAGACAGGGTCTTTAGGAAGCTAATTAAGGTTACATGAGGTCATAGGAGTGGGGCCCTAACGAGATAGGATTGTTGTTCCTACAAGAAGAGGAAGCAACACACAAAAGTGCTTCCATCATCTCCCCCCATCTCCCCTTTCCTCTCTCCCCCTCTCCCTGTCTCTCCCTCTCCCTCCACGCATGCACAGAAGAAAGGCCAGCGAGTAGGTGGCTGTCTATAAGCCTTCACCAGACACTAAATCTGCTGGCACTTTGATCTTAAGATTTCTAGCCTCCAGAGCTGTGAGAGGTAAATGTGTGTTGTTTAAACCGCCCCATTTGTGAGATTTCATGGTACCGGAGCTGCCTAAGACAAGCACCATTGTTTCAGATATACCCGAGTAATGCTGCGAGTGCTTTTCCTCCTCCGCCGCCTTCAAAAAGTCACCCCTGTGCCTCTCCTGATTCTTAAACCTGAGCAGCCCTCAGTCTCCAGAGGCTTATTAGAACGGAGCCCCAGCCCTGCCTGCAGGGCTCCTGCCTCGGTGGTGCTGGGGAAAGCTGACAGTTTGCGTGCGTTCTGAGTCCCGCAGTCTTGCTGACACTGCTGATCAAGCCTTTAGATTACATCACGAAGCAGAAGCGTGGCCAGATAAACCCTGTCAAACATTCCGAGATTCCTTAGGAAGGTCCACGCTCACAGCGGCAGCTAAAAAGCACCACCATCACCCGGTAGACACGGAGGGTCCCCGTTCCACGACACAGAGAGCCGTCACGGCCCCTCAAACAACAGGAAGTGATTCCCTTTTCATAATTGGGAGGAGAAGAATGGTGCACAAAAGCTGAGAGCTGGGGACGTTTTAGAGGCAAGGAGCCACAGGCTGAGTCGAATCTCTGTATCATTCGGACACAAGGAGGCAGGAGACCCGAGGAAGGACAGCAGCTCCCGACAGGCAGCTGGCGTCCGTCCTGGGCAACGACCACCAGAGCCGGGGCACTGCCTCCTCCGGTTGGGTTGCATGAAGTCAAGTCCCATTGTTTACGGGTGTTTTGCTTAATTGTCTTCCAGAACCACCGGCGGCACCTGATTATCATTAGAGAAATAGCGACAAATGGCCCTGCGTTTGAGCTGGTGCGGTTTAGCTGCACGGACGGTATACACTGAGCACCCTGCCAGGACCCCCATAAGAAGCAGTGCCCCCATCCCTGTGGTGATGGGACAGAAGCAGGGACTGACATCCTGGATGCCACACACACTGACGCCCTGGAGCACCACGTGGCAGTTACAAGCCACCGCCCAGAGTCGGAAACGGCTGTTTCCTTTACCCGCGTGCTGACCACGAAGCAAAGGGCGTGCACGGGCTGCTGTTTATAAGCGATTTAAGCAACGTCCTGACTTGGAAAAGGGACACGCGAAATATACTCTTTAATGGCGGGGAAAAACCTTCAAACCAAGACCACCAACCCAGAGCTAAGCCCAAAGTGGCAGGAGTGGTCCCACAATGACACGGAGGGCCCCAAGCTGTCATAACCACAGTGGGAAGGGGACTTCTTCTCGGAGAGTGACAGTAGCTTCACAGACCCATCAGCAAACCAGGAGCTCACGGCTACGGTCCACCTTCTGTTAAACATCAGCAAGGGGCATGACTCAGTGCGAAAGCCCGGGCCCGCCCCAGCAATGAAACAAGTACACTTTTTCATGGTGGTTATTAGACATCCGGCCCAGTTTTTTTAGACGGAACTAGCTCATTTCCAAGACATCAAGCCCACATAGAAAGCATAACTATAATATATAAAAATAATACACTGTGCATATTAGTGACATCTAGGAAGAGTGTTAGTAAAATACCAATGGAAGCCAGTTCTAAAGACCTCTTTCAACTCAATAAGATGTAAAAATTATTTGCAAACGAGCATCACAGTGACCTCAATTTTCAGTTCAAGTGGAGAATCAGGGTGTGTTTAGGGTCAAAATGCATTGCTGGAACTTAGAGCATTTAGCTAAGATTTTATTTTCACCCTAAACCATTGGGTCAGCTGCATCAAAATTAGACGAGCCCCCTAGGGATACAATGGGGTGTCACTCAGCCATAAAAATGAACTGACACATGTGACAACATGGATGAGCCTTGAAAACACGGTGCTGAAAAAAGCCAGACACAGAAGGCCACCTATGCGATTCCATTTACATGAAATGTCCAGAATAAGTACATCCATAGAGACAGGAAGTACATTAGTGGTTGCCAGGGGCTGGGGGAGGGAGAGATAGGGGTGACTGCTTAGTGGGCACGGAGTGTTTTTGGGAGGGTGATGACAAAATTCTTAGTTGCGATGCCAACACGTCTAGCGTGTACCTACGACAACTGAAAGGGTTAAAATGGTAAATTTTGTGTTATATACATCTTACCACAGTGAAAATTAATGAGGACCCTGGCTTGTGCGCTCCACCGTGGACCCCCACGGCCAGTGCCGGGTCGGGCTGGCCCACGCTCCACTCGGGACAGCAGACCCAGTCGGGGTGCTAGATGGATGACAAGCCACCTCCCCATGAGGTTCTCACAAAGCTCTCCCCACTGAAAGGACAGGCACCGAAGCCAGCATTTCCTAACAGCTGCACAATTAAAAACCTCCCCGTCTTTACCGCCTTCCGTGAACACCCCGCATCAACGAGCCGCTGTGTTATGAGGGTTCGGGGACATGGCCTCCACACACAGACAACGTCCCCAACGGAACCAGTCAACCTGGTGTCCACATACTGACGGGCTGTGCAGGCACCCGGAGCCGCCCCGCCCAGCAGTGCACACACGGCGTTTGTTTCTGAAGGCTGTTTACCTGAAACGGCGTCTGGCTGTTGTAGTTCTTCAGCTCCTTATTTCCGCCTCGGAACAGCAGCACCCGTGCACAGCTGTCCTGCACGTTGGAAAGGAGAAATCTGTTGGTACAGCGGTGGCGTAGACATTCTCCAAAGACAGCCATTCAGAGGCTCAAGCTCACAAGAATTCAGAGAAACGTAAATAAAGTCAAAAGGAAGGGCGATTTTCGTTCGCCGGAGTGGCCAGGATCAGGGTGACCCCTGCTCCTACCCTAACCACCCCGCCAGGCTATCAGTTGAAGTTTAACTGCTGCAAACACTTTCAACAGCAACGTAACTATAACAATGTTAAATGTATACACCCCATGTCAACAGTTCTACTTTTTAAGGCTGTATTCTACAGTCTTGCACACGTACCACTAAGTAAAATCCGGAAAAAAAGAAAAGAGAAAACAGGGAGATGGCAGCAATGCTCTAAAATAAAGTGGAATTGCATTCTAGAACATTCTTCACCTTGGCAGTTGTAGGGAAAAAGAAGGCAGACGGACGAAAGCTGACAAGAAATATAGCCAAGAACGTCTAAGTATAAAACGCAAGTCTCAAAGCAGTAACATGGCTTAATTTCATTTGTTTCACTGCAGAAAAATAAAGAACGCATATGTCTGGAAAGGTGTGTGCCAGTTAACAGGATTTACTTTCCCACGAAGAAAAAAGGAAGAGGGAGCAAAAAGGAGGAATCTTCATCTTCCTATTTACTAATATTTTTTAATGTTTTTCAAAGGCAGGCAATATTCATTTCTTGTGTAGTTTTACAATGAAAATAAACCTATTCCAGGCCGGCCGAGTGGCTCAGTTGCTTAAGAGCTCACTCAAGAGTGTGAGCTCTGAGCAACAGCCGTTCGAGTGCGGCCCGAGCTGAGCTGCCGCTGAGCTGCCAACAGGTGGCAGGATGGCTCAGCTTAAAAAAAAAAGAAGAAAAAAAAAGAAAAGAAAAGAAACCTATTCCTGTCCATTTGTTGAGCATCCACTAACTTGCCCACAGGGGCTGACGGAGAACTTCCCACCAGCCCTTTCGAGGAGGGCGGGGACGAAAACCTACAATGAGACAGGTGGCAGCCTGTGAATGAAGACCACTAACTGTGAGAACACGTTTCCCTAATGAAGGCTGCTGGAGTGTTTAGAATGAGTCAATTATGTTTTTCAAAGATCATTTAAATGGTCAAGTGCACACCGGTGTTCGTTTGTCATAGCTGCCACAGGCCGGGCACCTTCCTGACCACAGACCCCTGTGCCGCTGGCTCCCCTGTGCAGGTCGCAGCCAAACCCCTGTGCTGGGCCAATCTCAGCTTTTCCACCTTTACCTACAGGGTCTAAAGGAGACACAGTGGGCATTACCACCCAGGGAAGATGTCAGCAAGCAGCTATTGAATGAGGAGTGTGACCAACCAGCACTTCCACCCAGAAAACCGCTTAGAACGGCAGGCCAGTGGCCCCAGCCCAGACAGAAGGAGACCTGCTGCCCTGGGGACAGGCCAGGGCCAAGGCACTCTGCCCAAGTCACAGGTCCTGTAGGACAGCAGACTGAAGACAAAAAGCTGGCAAGACAGACAGAAAGAGGATGAGAGGTTGTGCAGAGCTGGAGGGCTGGAGGGACGCAGGGATTGACCGATGGGTTTCTACTTGGGGCGATGAAGACGTTCTAACAGCAATGTGGTGATGGGTGCACACCTGTGTGAAGAGGCTAAAAATCATTCAATTGTGTATTTTAGCCGTAGACAGGTAGATTGCATGGTGTGTGAATTAGATCTCAGGAAAGGTGTTAGATATTAGAAAAGTAAGAGAGAGGGGATCGGAGACAGGGCGGGCCGTACTGGCAGGTTACCCTTCCATGACTGTGACCCCAATCCAAGAGCCCGTCGGGTCTGGCAGACAGAGTGAGCTCTCAGCAGCCAGCTGGGACTGTCCCGATCCCCATGACCTGGCTCAGGGATCCACTGGGGCCTCCACCTCGGGGGGATGATATTAATGAGGAAGCCACGTGTGAACAGAGCAAACAGAAGTAAAGGTACAGGGACCCCGGTTCTCTGAGCAGCACTCAGCCTGGGGATGGTACCTGAGAGGGTGCGGCTGTGTATCAACCATGTGGCCACGGGTGGGGGCCCATGTAAGTTCTGTGACAAAGACTACCTGGCCTCTGCGTCCTCAAGCTGCCGGGGTCCTGGGGCCCCCAGCTGCACCCCACGGCTGACTTCAGTCACTGCGTAAAAGTCACCTGGGTGCTTAGGCATGCGCGTGGCGTCAGGCCAGGTCTGCGGCCTGGATGGAGGGTGTCCTCTGCGGACCGCTACAGGGTGGAGAGGGGGTGTCCCTAAGGGAATGGAGAGCTGTGGGACTCCGGCAACAGAGAGGGCGGCCTCCGCGTGATGACAGGGGGAGCCCTTGGAGAGGAAGGTTGGGTGACCGTCAGCAAGCGGAGAGGACACAAACCAGGAGCCCCGCTTAGCTGGAGCTAAGCTGTGGGTGTGGGCGACCACGTGTCGTGATACAAACGAGGCAGAGGACGTGCACGACGGCTTGGGGGAGGGGACCACGGAGGCCTCTGCCCACTCTCTACACTGCCTGCATTTGTCCATGAGCTGCGTTCACGTGATGCTTTGAGGACTACAGATGTTTAAGAAAATTTAAAAAGATATAAGGATGTTCAGCAAACACATCTTTCATTTTGGGGTACAATTAAACCCAGGTTTTTTAAAGTCCCCCGGCATTAGTTCAGATGGTGACAAGCCCTGGAAACCCAGCCCGAGAGGCCACACACCTGGGACAGAGGCAGGTGAGGATCCCATACGGGTCTTGTCATTTTATTCCAGACTCTCAAACTACAGCCTGTGGGCCAAATCGGACCCAGCGGGTTTTATAAATAAAGTTTTATTAGAACCCTGGCCCCCGAGCTTTCCGGTCCTGCCCCAGGCCCCCTCCCCCTGCCCCAGCTTCCAGAGCGCAGCCCAGCGTCTGCTCCCTTTCAATTATGCCCACTTGGGTCCTGTTACTTACAACCCAAAGTAAATTGATCTAATTAACTAAAACAAGAACATTACCATGCTCAGTGAGGAAAAAGTTTGTAGGGAGAAGAGAGAAGAAGAGGGCATTATATCTGCGAGAACTCAGGCAGAGACGGGAACACAGGGCTAGGAGGGAGGGAAGAATTTCTGCAAGTCACCATTTGGGCGTAGGGGCACAGGTGAGAGAAGGGAGCGCAAATCCCCTGGGGCGGCAAGCAGGGGGGGCCCCACTAGGGGCTCGGGGGATGTCTGCCCCAGGGGTCTCACCCTGAACTGAATTTGCACTTGGCCCTGGTCCAGGAAATGCGCAGCCAGGAACGTCCAGCTGTCCATCCCCAGCAGCTGGGAGCAAGCGGACCAAGCAGAACACAGAAGCCCTGGGGGCGGGGGCGCTAGGACCCCACCTCTGCAATTCCTTATAAATGCTCCTAATTGCCCAAGAGGCACTTTCACTGCAAGTTCCCATCCTAAAGGACATTTATATCCTATAAAGGCAAGAATAAATCCTCAGCAGGCACAGCCAGCCACACCCTCCCAGGTGGAACCCCGCCAGGATCTCAGCAAATTCCTCTCTCACCCACAAAGGGATTACTCTGAGTCAATACTAACCAACCCCAGAGACACACTCTCCATCACTCTAATATTTGCCAGAGTTCCTGGTGAAATCGTGTTCCAGACAGCTACTTCCAAATTAAAGGGTAGGTGGTTCACCCAGCTTAGTAACAATTATACCCGGGGCGTGTGTGTGCGCGCACGCGGGAGGCTATGTGTGTGCGTATGTGCGCGTATGTGCATGTCTGTGTTTGTGAATTGTGTACATGTGTGTTTGTGTACGTGTGTGTCTGCACGCACACGTGCGCTTTGCAGTTCAGAAAACAGATCTGCCTGTTCCTTCTGACTCACCCTCAGAGCGCCCCTGCTGGGGGCTAGCAGGAGGCCCATTTCACAGATTAGGAAGCAGAGTCCTGGGAAGGGTTAAGTGTAAAACTGCGGTTTCAGAAGGGGAGAAAAAAGGAGAGTTGTGACCCAGAGGGGTTGCTAAGAAAAGCCTAACTGTTGCCTTGTGCAGCTGGCAGCTGCCCGCGATCCTTTCTGCGCTGTACCTTGTACAGTACCCTGACCTGTGCCTGCATCCTTTTAAGTCCATCAAGTGTAGAAATAAAAGCGATACTCATTTGGGGTTTTTTGAGCACCAAAGCACAGGGATATCACGTCACTGCCAAGTATCTTCTTCGTGTGAGTTTTAGGAGACACTTCCCTTAACTAAAGTACCCTCGTCACCTGCCCAAGCATTTTCAAGAAACATTTTCAAGGCCTGGCCAAGGTATACCACCCCTCTGGGTCACCACCCGCTGCAGGAGCCCAGGCGCCATCATTTCCACTTTATACGTGAAGACACAGAGCCAGAAAGCGTATTCATTCGTGCATGCAAGGAATCGATACTGAGCATGGACCGAGCCAGGTACTGCCCTAGCCCCTGGAGACACAGAGCGCCATGCAAACAACAGAAAGAGTTATGCAATGGAGAGAGTGAGGGCAGGTGGCCAAGGAAGGCCTCCCTGAGCGAGTGACCTCAGCAACCAGAGAAGAGCCCTGTGACAACCGGGGACGCAGTCCCAGCAGAGGGGGGAGTGCAAAGGCCCTGTGGCTGGGCTGCAGCGAGTTGGGGTGAGGGTGGGCAGGAGACACACGGATGGGGGACAAGGACCTCTGGGTTCATGTGAAGGGCACTTTCATTACAGGGGAACACAAACTGACCTGCGTGGACCTGTTCAGCGGGAAGTGGGTTAGAGGGAAGGAAGGCTGGAGCAAGGGGCCCGCTGGGCAGTGAGTGCGGCAGTCTGGGGAAAGGTGCCTGCGGCCTGGGCAAGGATGGGCGTGGTGGAGGGGACGCAAGGGAGCTGACAAGACCTGGGACGAGGGGGATCGTGAAAGACAGGAGGGTGGCCCAGGTTTCAGTCTGCAGCCCCGGAGAGGACATCTCTGCACGGTGGGGAGGAGCCACCTATAATCTCCACATGGGATGTCAGTCAGGCTCGGACATCACCGCCAGAGCTCACGGGGAGGTTACCCAATACTCGCCGAGGGCCACTGCGTGTTCTAGAAAGTAACAAAGGACACAAGCCTGCCTGACATCGCTGCAGGGGAGAATTCAGACACCAGGAGTGTGGGGCCTGGACCCCAGGGGACGATGCCACTGAGAGGCTGAGCTGCACGGTGACAGATGCCGGCTGCTGGTGTGCCCAATATGACCCAGTCAGCATTGCAGCCAGGGTTTTCATTCCGATTTCCCAAGCACTGAGGTGATTTTCACTTAAATGTCAATTAAATTCACAGACGTGAAGTGCTAAATACCCCAAGTTATGTCAGGAACCCGTTTCCAGTTTAAGTTATCCTTTGAAACGAGCCTGTCGAGGCAGACGTAATCCTCGGAAGAGCTCAGGGGCATGAAGTTAGTAAAATGGTCAAGTGGAGAGCCGGGACACTGATGTCACCAGTGCGGGCTGTAACCAGGCCCCGTGGACCAACCCTCCCCTTGAAGAACTGCAGCCCAAAGACCACAGCTCGCCTGGTGGCGGGCACACAATGCCTGTACCTGACTTGTCCCCACCCCAATCAAGGGGTTACAGGAATGTGTCAGCCTGGGGGACAAGAACTAGAGTGCGGGTTGGAAGCCCAGCCTTCCACTTACTGGGTGAGCTCCTCTGGGCCGAGCCTTGATCTCCTGATTTGCATAAAGAAGGACAACCAACAGTGGCCACCAGAAGCCCATTGCGGGAATCTCAGGTGTGGACGCCTTTCCCAGCAAGAGGCACACCCTCAATGCTCAGGGGAGTACCACCCTGTGATGGCCCCGGGGAGGCACCGCTGAGCTGACGAGCACTGTGTGGGGCAACGCACAGGGCATGAGACACAAGCAAAGGAAGCCCCTCTCCTAACGGCTCGAGACAGCAGGGCCTGCTTTTTACCTTCCAGGCAAGTAGCCTGGCCTCGGAACCTTTGATATTTAGAACTCCTTCCCTTCCTTCATTATCCAGGGCAGAAAAACACACACCAGCGTCCGTCCCTCTGGGGCTCCTGGAAAGCCAGCGAGAGGCTGAGGAAGGTGGCAGATTAGACACAATTTGTGGCTTACAATCAGAGCCCTAATTAGCTGATTTCATAAGAGAAGGAGAGATAGTCTGATCATAGTGTGTTTTATTAGAAGTGTGCAGATGCAGCCTGCCTAAAATTGATGGAACACACACACTGATCCATAAGCCTGGATGCTTTTAGATTTAATAACGTGAGGCCTGGTAAGGCAAATTAACAGCAGTGGTACCATCACCAACAGATTACCACCATCACCATCACCACCA